GTGTGCTCTTCCGATCTCCCCAAAACCCCAAAACCCCAAAACCCCGCTATAAGGCTATAAATTTAAATTGGAGATATTATAAACTCTGAACTATAATATTTTAAATGAACCCTACTAAAGAGCCACTTTTATAAGATTCTTATACAAGTAGCATAGACTTAGGCAATAATAGGCGCTTCGGCAAGCAATCCAAAGAATTCTATATGGATATCAATTAAACTCTTGATCCCTCAACAGTATGTATATTAAACATCTAACATAAAATCATATAGATCAAATCAGAGATTAGTGATGCTAGTGCTTTGCATCCACATGTAAATGCAAAATACAAAAACATTTATTCATATTCTGAAGATACTTCCACATTTATCAACCCAGACACCTCTATTAAGCCAGAAATGCTTATGGACAGCACCTACGAACCGAGGTAATTATAAATGATTTATTTAACTATTTACACTAGACGTGTGCCTCTTAACAGTAAGAACGAGTAGATCAGGCTGTCAAAAATGAAATGTTGGCCTACAACTAAGCTGTTCTGCAGGTATTAGTGGCGTGATATTAAGAGACACAAGTTTCATTTTTGCCTTGCTTTCTGCTCAGTCTTTACTATTGTCCTTGCAACCTTAGTCGTTATTTCAATTATCGGAAAAGGCCCAATCATATTCTTAAAGATGGCAGAATCAAACCACGGAGCTATTGATGCTTATATACTTCCAGGAAGTGATGAGAGGGTGAATGATTTGCACTAATCAATGTTTTTGAATTTTACCGCATTATAAGATTTAGTGGGTGAGGAGAAGTACAGCTACACCCCTAGAAAGACCTATTGCGGAACCTAGATGATGAAATTCGAATAAGAATCTGTCTAGAATCATGAACAGATTAAATTGAAAAAATCCCCATAGAATGAAAATATTGTTGACAATAAAGGAGAGAGCTTTTTGGGTGAGTAAATTGAGACTGTTTAAAATGCCAAGGATGAATTCACAATTCCAAGCAGAAAGGATGTGTACCAATTTGGGGAAAACTTAATGGAAAAGAGAACAGAAAGATAGATCTTTAATTTAAAAGCTGATGATAAGTAACAGACAGTGTGCATAAATGTAATTAATTCCAATAGAGAACATAAGATAGACATTGGAGATAAATTTGACTTACCTGATCTTAACTATGGAGAATGCTACATCAGCGATTTTCAAAAAGATCTTCTAAATGTCGATATTGGGGATTCTGTGTATCTATGGGCTTACATTGGCAATATGTACGACTTACTAATCGATGAATACAATTCTGTAGCACCTTTTTATAACTGGCCGATCGCATACAAATCTTCATCCTATTCTCTAACCTAACTGCCTTGCAAAATCGTGGGCTTCTTTTCCTCGTCTAATGGAAAGTTTGCAGAGGGTAATATACAAAATCAGGTTATTATGGAATATGATTACTTTTTACCCTATATTGCTCAATATCTTCCATGGGAGTTATACTATTATTCTGAATTCAAAGAATTTTTGACAAGACCAGATTTAGTAAGTCTAAATTACTATGCCGATTATATTGCTTTGAACCTTCCATCACCGAGACATGACTGGTATTCCTCCGACAATATAGATAGTATTTAATACTATGTAACAAAGCACGTCAACTCCTTTATTTAGGATGTCGGATTTTATCCAGTAAACGCCTAATTGCCTATTTTGTCTGAAATGGAAAAGTTAAATCTTGCCATTTTACTATTCAACCTAATTTTCAGAGTGGTTATTGCTATCTTCGTAATGATTTCAATAGTTTTGGTCTACTCCTTATTGATGATCGGCATTGATGGAAAGACTCTTGAGATGGGTATTTTAAGAATGGTTGGTGCTAGTAAAGTTGGATTGACTCTTATGATCTTGCTTTAGAGTTTGATGTTTGTGCTGCCTGCTATTTTATTTGGGTTTGTACTGTCTATACCTTGCTTGGCACTTTGCTATACTAAAGTGTTCTAGGAAGAGTTGAATAATGGATTCTCGCCGATCCCTAATGTAGCAGCATTTATCAATGCATTTGTTCTAGGCTTGCTGATTCCTATTCTCAGTTCAATCATGCCTGTGGTGAGAGTTCTAGGTTAAAACTTGAATGATGCTCTAAATTATGAAAGGAACAGAGTCTCTGCACTCTATGTTAAAATTTTGAATAAATCTAGAACTGATATGCTTCCTCCATTGATCTTTGGCATCATTACCTTTTGCTACGGCTTTGCAATCTATTACTTGCTTCCATTATCGATGCTTTCACTAGATTTAGGCTTGACCCTTGAAGTATTCTTTTTCATTCTAATAGGTTTATTACTTGGTATTGCAATTCTAGCTATAAACATTTAGAAGCCTTGTGAAGTGATTCTGACTTATATATTTTTGTGTTTTGAGACTAGAGCGATGAGGAAGATGGTGCTTAATAATTTGAAGGCTCACATGATGAGAAACAGACTAACCTCTACCATCTTTTCACTTGCTCTGGGTTTCATCATTTTCTTACTAGTTGCCTACAAGTTATAAGTTCAGTACATGCTCAATTAAAGAGAATCTAGATCAGGAGTCTTCCCTAGTCTGGTTACTGATTATCCATACTATGTCAATCCCACATACATCGACCCTGTCCTGCAAGATAACATGGATAAGATAGAATCATTTAATTGGATTACATTTGAGTTTATTAGAACAAAACCTCAAACTTAAATTAGTGGAGTTGAGATTGCAGGCAGTGACAGACTAACAGTCTTTTAAGCGATGCCATATGGTGTTACTCCAAATATCTTTTCGGTTTCAAGAGAAAGCTTCAAATAGATATACTATGATAGAAGCAAGTTGACTATTGGAGAGTAATTGTACACAGCTAGAGGATCACAAGGGGGAGTATTATCAACTTATCAAGTCAGGACCCTGAATTGCGATCCAAAATATCCTGATTAAAAAGGAAAGATGTACATGTACATATCCTAGGAGAACAGGAATCATACTCGCTATTACCAAGTAGTGCCAACTACTGTAATGAGTTCTGCCCCATTTTTTGGAATGACTGATATGGAATAGAATTATAGATATCCCTATTTAATGTCTATCCCAATGTTTATGACCTTGAGTGATTAATAATCAGTAAATGAAGTCGCCTACGAAAGGCTGGGTATTAAGTTGAAGGATGATTATTAAAGCAATAATGACTAGGTCTTAATGCTTAACAAGATTAAAGAAGCACTTCCAGATTATATTAAAAACAAGATTGACTTTAGATCTCAAGGGCAGGCAACATTAGTTTTAGTAGACAATATAGTCTCATTGCTATTCGATATTGTAATAGTCATTACCATGTTCCTCTGTTTCTTCTCCCTCAGTTCATCAATGTCTGCAAATCTCTATGAGCAGGCAAAGGAGATCGGTATCCTAAGAGCTATTGGCTTCAAAAAGATCAGAATAATAATGCTTTATGTCTACGAAGCTTTTATTCTTGTTTTTGCCAGCTCGATAATGGGTATATTTATTGGAATCGTTGTCGGTTGGAGTATGACACTTTAATTTGCTGTAGTTCAAGAAATGCCTATTGAGTTCTATTTCCCCTGGTTTGAACTAATAATCATTATGTTGGCTTCTTGGTTCTGCGCCTTCTTCAGTGTCTTTGGTCCAACAAGATCAATCATCAAGCACAGAATCGCCAGCATTCTTAAGATGAATTGAGATTTCATCTCAGAGAGGTGTTTATATAATAATAGCACCTACTTTAATCAAGTTGAAAGAAAGAAGATACAAGAATTGATAAGAATTTATGTGAAATCTCTTTTTATTTAATCCAAATAATCCTAAAACAATAATTTGTAACAATTTAATACCTACAACTTCGTCTATTCAGTATATTATGGGGTTTTGGGGTTTTGGGGTTTTGGGG